AAGCACTAATTAAGAAAACACCTGAAAAGCTTGCCTATAGCCAGATCTTATAGAGACATTATCTCAACCGAGACTCCCTCCTCTCTAGCTTGTGCAAAGTTGATATAAAATTAACCAACAAACATCTGCCATTTATGAAGAATGTTCTGTTATAGCATCATAATGCTCATTTGCTCCTAAGGAAAATGAACAAACGTCTTATAAAAGAGAAGCAATGTGTATTCTGTAGAGTAATTGAGTGTGGTGTTGGGGAGATAGCTCAGTGCATAAAGTACTTCCTGTGTAACCATGAGAAACTAAATTTAGAACCCTAGTATCCATGAACATAATTTGGCATATTGGTATGTATCAGCACTTCATGTATAGAGAGTGTAGACTTGAAACACACTAGCCAATCCCTTTCTCCAAAACAAAATGAGGTTCAGTGAGAGAATATATCTCAATAATTGGGTTGAAGAGCATAAGGGAGGATACCTTCTATCCACCTCTTCCACCTCCATGTGCACACAGAGGCGCACACAGACATACACAGAAATATAGCACAGAAATATAATATATAATATAGTAAGAAATAAGTCGATAAGTACCTCGCAAAGCACTTTCAGAAGATCTCTCTGTGCCACTCATTATCTATTATAAAATTAATTTTTGTAGTGGATGGGAATTAACAGAGACCCAGACCTACAACTAGACCATATGCAGAGTGAGAAGAGCCTTTGGAACTCTTAGTCCTAAATGATGTATCTTTATTAGATTCCTCTCGTCTTCTTCAGACTCAGGGATCAACGCTGAAGAGAAGGTGGAATGGTTGAAGAGTAAGAGTGGTGGGAAGAGCCTAAGGAAGTAACATTTACTAGACACAAGAGGACTGAGGTACATATTAACATACTGAAACTGTGGCAGCATGCACACGACCTGCACAAGATCAAGTCAGGCAAAACTCTTGGCATGGATAAGGAAAAGTGGGCACAGATTTTACCCTTAGCCAAGATGCTGTTTGTGACTAATAGCTATTGGAACAGGGAAACTAAGTCATCTTTAATGGAATGACACTGGTTATATCGATAAGAAGCCAGGAAAGGCCTCATGCTAAGTTATAGCTGGCCACACTAAAGAGGCTCCATGATATGTGTGTGCACTCACACATGTATTTTGTTTGTTGTTTTGTTTTAATAAATAACATGAAGCAGGACTGGGAAAGGATACGGGAGAAGACGGGGACGTGGAGAAAATATAATAAAAATAATTTTCACGAGAAAAATAAAAAGATTAAAATTTAAACTGATTGAATCATAATACATTTCCATACATTATAACAAAACTAATTCTTGAATCCCAATTATCATTTTGGATTAATACATTGCATTGTAGTTTAATACAACCCATTAAGTTATACAACTAAGTGTTATTTCCAGGGAAAGTGATTCAGTTAAATTTATCTTATTGAAGGTTATTAGGTTCCATTGGCTAGATTGGAATCTTTCTCTATTAGATTAATCAGCTATCTAGGGACTTCCAAGTACACGCACACCTGCCCAAGTGGAAGATGACTCTTATCGATTGAGATTATGGAATACCATTTCTCTGCTGTAGATAAGCAAGGTAGTTCAGGACCTAGTTTCCTAGTTAATTGACATCAACTGACTTTCAGTTTCTCTCGAATAAATAGAGCTTCTTTAGTCTAATCAAGGCACTTACATGCCATCTTGTTTCATTGTCCCACAACAAATGGACTGAACCACTCTTAATCAAGCACTAATAATCAATCTCACCTTTGCTGTTTAACCATTTGGCAATTGACTTACGTTTTGAAACCTTTTAAAACTTGCCTAGGAGGCTAAATGGTTAAAGGTCAATACAAAACAAAGCAAAAGCAAAACAAAGCAAAAAAATCAACCAACCAACCAACCAACCAACAACAACAAAAATCACCCAACTGGATGATAACCCTTAGAAGTGAGTTTAAATGGATGCTTAAATGAAAGATGGATTGGTTAATGGATATTATTAATACATAGATATCCTTACTTGTAAACACTAATATAGAATATCGTGCCTAAAAGCAAAAGTCAAGGACCTAGGTTTATATCCTAGCTCTACATTCTATTAAATGTGTACCCATGACTAATATGAAAGCATTCTCCTTATCATTTTTATTTGAAGATGTTACTACTCTGCTTGTTTTTAACACCAAATAAAAAACTAGTGTAATAGTATATATTATACATCTATAAATGTTTAATAGCCCATAACTATTAATTTTATTGTGTCAATTATATAATTATATTATATTATATTATATTATATTATATTATATTATATATAACATAATTATATAGTTATGTTATATATACTTACATGTTATAAATTATGGTTGAGAAAATAACTCTTCAAAGAGTCCATAAAATATTTTATAATAAAAGCATACATGTTTTAACAAGAAGTTTGACTTCCACTTTTCAATTTCTTATTTCAATACTAGATAGAATTTTCCTTTTAGACTCTAAAAGCAACCCAAGCAGCATAATCCAACTAAAGGAAAAGCATGAAGGATATATATATATATATATGTGTATATATATATATATATATATATATATATATATATCCCTGTTCCCCAGGGTAATCAGCCCTGATATACTTGGTATATACTGATATTTTACATAGCTTCATTATGTTTGTATAAATCACAATATGAAGATTTACAGACATATTAACAATGCAACACACCACAGTATATGCATTTCTATTCCCCAATGCCTGTGAATATATCTGTATATGTATTTTATAGTTAATAAAACTATAATACTACTAGTTACAGTAAACTACAATATTTGTACTCAAAAATACACAAAAATTGCTACTTATTCCATGGTATAAAAGAAGAAAGTTTGCGCAACTGTTTCTATATTTTTCAGGTTGTTCATATTATTTCTGTTCCAGAATCAGCATAGCAAATGCCCTTATATGATGATTCTCTCTGAGATGACTAAGATGACACGTGAGGTTTTGCACTCACTATGTGCCCCCAACGTACTATTTAATGTTTTACATGTATTATGTCATTTAACTTTGATATGATTCATGAAGAGTCATTGGAAATGCTGTTTTTAAATACAGTGGACTTTAGGCTACTTGTTAGTAAGTGGTGAATAAGAAATTTAAAGTCGGGTAGTGTGCTCTCCAATCCCTTTCTGTTACGTAGCTCCTATCAAGAAGTCTCCAATTACTTTCTTTAATTTACACTGTTTTTTTTAATATCATAAGTTTTAGAAATTATTCCAAATCTTCCATCATACCCACAGAACAGCTTATCTAATGAGATAATTTCTACAAGAGTCGGTGTGTTCTATTAGATACACAGGAATCCCCTCTTGATGGAATATATTCCCTGTACTCTGGATAGCCCTTTACATGCATAATTCGGCTATGTCAGAGACTGTGTACTTAGACATCTTGTAGCAATTGGGTTTCAGGAACGGCTGCATTGCTAGTGTTTAAAATGAAATTAGCATGGTGTGTCTCTGCTAACAAGTTCCAGATTTATCCTGCAGGAAAAGACAATCTGGGAATTTTCCATTCATAGCTTATGTTGTTATAATTTTTCATTTAAAATGTCTCCAAGCTTTTAATCTCCACAGAATGAAGTCATACTTCCTTTCCAAACCAAATTTCTCAAACGTATTAGTATTATAACAGCATCTGAAGTTTTCATCTTTATGATTAATTTTATTTACTTTTTCCAAAAGTGTCTTACTCTGCAAGGGTCCTACAGACTTGAGGAAATAATGTGGATCTTATTACCAAATAAACGAACCAACTTAAGCTAAGAAATGTGTGATTGTTATCTCAGAATAGTGCAACTTCGGGTGTGATACTGAATTTGGGGGGACAGTACTGTGAGAAAGAGGAAGCGATAAGTGATAAATACTGTCCTGAGTTTAGCATCTTATTTGAGCAGAGAAACTCTCAGAGGACCAAGGAGACGGGACAGGGAAAAAGAATTTATCATTGCTCATATCAGCATGGAGGAGCCTTGGAACATAATAAGTCTAATGTTTATGCCTCAAATAATGAGACTTGGGTTACTCCGCTTGAAGATCCTTAGATAGCTCACACCTGCGCAAACACTACTGCCCTAGCAACTTCTATATATGACCCAAGGCTGAACTGACATCTCTGCTTTCATTGGTAGCAACTGGCAGGGAGGCAAGAATCCTCTAGGAAGTCAGGTTGAAATGATTTGTTCTGAGAACGTCTTGCTAGAAGGAAAATCTGTAGCAATTGAAAATGAGCTCCCAATAACGAAACTATAATTCCATTCCTCTCCCAGCGAGGAGAAGACCATAGTGAAGTGCTATGGAAATACATTGGAAGTGTCTGGTTGTCACCCAATCTGACTTGTTTGTAACTTCCTGGGCCATAAGAATTTAGGAACTACATGGACAGCTTTATGCTTCTGATAAAATCAAGTAAAGTTAGCTTAGCAAAGGTACTTCAAATGGCTAAACTTGGTAAAGTAAGCTTAAAGTTCCTAAAACTGGCAAATGGTAACAGATTCTTCATTTGTTGTGAAATAGGGGGAGTGTGATTGGATCTAATTTATCCTGGAGGAAACACAGAACATAGTTGCAACTACTGAAAGCACGTCCTACTCCATGGACTCGTTTCTGCACATTTTGTTGCAGATGTCATGAAAGCAAAGCAACAGTCAGAGTACAGACAGGAAACAACTTTACTCCACGTAGGAGCAGACCAGTACCTAGAATGTAAGCTTCCCTTAGAAATAGAGACTATATCAGAAAATACGAGGGCTGAGACCACGTGATGAGGGCTAATGCCAGAGGCAGGATGAAATAAGAAGTTCCCAACTTGGTTAGGTAGCACTGAGCAGGGCTGGCCAGCACTGCGGGGTGCTGCTAGCCAATCTGGAGCTACTTTCTATCAGCAAGCCCCCCTGTGCTCGCTTCAACCACCTGCCCTTGGCTGTGTTCACTCACTCACGGTCCGGGACACCCTCAAATCCTGGTTGAGCCACTGGCACAGGATCTCCGACATAGCTCACTGGCGCCTTTGACTGCTTGCAGGTGCTAGGAACTTTCCAGGAACTCAGTCAGCTGGACTGCGTCTTCCCGTCGCCCAGGGCAACCAGTTGCTAAGGAAGCTCATCTAGGCTGGAGTTAGCTCACCAGCTCCGAGAGGAGGAGACACCACTGTGTAGCCATAGTTATCAGAAATTGTTGTCTGCCCCCTACTGGTTTGTAAGACCTGATCTTACGCTTTAAGAGGCTGAGCAGCAATTATAATAAAGGCTTTCTTTAAAAAAACAAAAGGACAAAAATCAACATTATTGTCAGATGAATTAAAAGCCTTATTTCTCTTTTGTAAATAACCAAGGGTAGACTATAGAGTTACTTGAAATCATAAGCTGGTTTTGAAAAGTGGTAATGTGAACCGGAATGCAACTTATTCTATAAAAGATCAATTCTCTAAATTATTCATTTAACACTTTTTATAATTATTATTATTTTTTACTGTCAATAAAGCCCAAGCTTCACAATGAAGTTTATATGAGCCGTTCTGTCTGGCTTTGATTTCACAAGTTCTTTGCCCAGAAATAATGACTTACTATCTTTGAACCTCACCGTTCTTTCCTATAGATGCAGACACAATGCTTGCTTTACAAGTTGAGCATATTAAATGAAAACTCACACTCTGATGACTAGTTCCTGCTAGAAGCTCAGTACACGCTTCAAAGTTGCTTTTTCTTGTGAGGCAATGTAAGGGCTTGCATCTCGTCCGTATTTCAAGTAGATCGGAGTTGATTGCGTTTCAGAAGTTTTAGGCAATTATTTCATGTAGCTGGTTTGAATTTATTCACGAATGTTCATGGTCACATAGAGACTTCTGCGCAGTTTTTAAGGCTCATTTGGCCTGCCTCGTGTTTTTCATTCATTTCTCCACATTCCCTCTAGTTTCCTCTCCTCTGCCTATTTTAGAGTGACTTCATTCAGCTGACATTCATTTATGCAAACGCTGTCTGCCTTCATGACCACAATAACCACCAGGCTGAATGTTCTCTGTAGGCTGTCCTGTATGACAGGCACAATTCCTAAAGCCCTACTATACCTCTTTACTTAGACACTAAGGTGAATTCTACTAGGATGTTGTTTATTGAGGACTAGACACTAACTCCTCAAAGAGCCAATGAAGTATATAACAAGGCATTGAATGCAATAAGACAAAATATGTATATAAATGCATGAGGAATATTCTTGCTTTATATATGTATTTGTGTGTGCAGTAAGTGTGTGTGTGTGTGTGTGTGTGTGTGTGTGTGTGTATTTACATGTAGAGTAAAAGATATTTCTTACCATTCTCCAGTAGATAGTTACAAACTCATGGTCACATAGACATCCATGGTTAAAATCTGTGGGTTAGCACAAAGTTATAAATATGAAGTAGGCAAAGGTAGGGAAAGGCGGTGGTCAGAAATCAAAGAGTGTGAGAATATTTGTAATGAATATTGTGTGCAACTACACACACACACACACACACACACACACACCAATGAACAAATAAACTTTTAAAAGCAGTAGACCAGATGATAAAGACCCACTGAACATGCTTTATGTTCTAGCTTCAACTCAATCATATTCGTAAGCCACAAACTTTTACTGTAGCCTCAGGGAGTTAGTAACCTCCATACTTCTTTCTACTCTTGATAAGATTTTTATTGTGATTTAAATACCACTGTGTATCCAGTTAACCAGTATTTCTGAATACTTATGACATGCTAATCTTGTTTAGTCCTATTTCTTCTACTTTACAAAGTGTTAGCAGTTTCTTCATTGCAATTGGAATTCAATGACAGGCTTTCCCAGTAACTCTATAATGAAGGTTGTCTGATTCATTGAATATTTAATTCCATATTACAGCCCATTTACTTCCACCATGAGGAATACCATGCCATGCAAATTCCTAAATTCTAAATGACTAGTCATATCAAATCCTGTTCTTTAACTAACATCATAATTCTTCCCCAGTTACTCCTTATAACAGTCAGTGACAGATTTTTTCCTCTCAGGCTCAGTAGGCTCAGATGCACCAGCAGAATCTAAATGGACACATTTGTTTCCTATTTTTGCAAGCCCAGACTGTTGAAATTCTGTGGTATGAGCCAATGAGTGCCAAGAGGCCCTTTAACACACAGCACTTATTTTATAATATATGAGTTAAGTTGTGCAATTTATTGTTCCTTTGTGCTATGGGCTGGGTGCAATTCCTCTGGACTTACATGTTAATCACAAAAGGATGTGTGAACATGGGAAATGCCTTTTTCCATGTTCTGCTTTTAGTTATGACCATAATGGCAATCAATATGGAAGTTTTTCTACACTGGGATGCTCTACTATATGACCCTGCACTATCACTTCTGAGGATACATCCAAGGGACACTATATCCTACTATAAAGACACTTGCCTTTTCATGTTCACTGGCACTGTATTCAAAATAGCTAGAAGAAAATGGAAATAGCATTATTGTCTATTAGCTGATGAAAAGATAATGAAAAGGAAGTATACATATGCAGGTATTTTATTGAGTCATAAAAATAAAATTATTATAAGTAAATAGATATAACTTGAAAAAATTATTGTTACTCCATATGCCAGGTGTGGAATATTTCACTTCTAGTTCTTAGCCATGAGGGGGTGCTTCTTATCATCTACCCAAATAATGCAACCTATTACTACTTCCCTTAGTTTCTCACTATAACTTGCCAGTGAGACCCAATAGCTGAAAACATCACAGATTTGTGTCACTAGACAAGGGGAAGGGGAAGGGGAAGGGGAAGGAGGAGGAAAAGGAGAAGAAGAACCTGGTACCAATCTGTAAACTTCCTTCTAGGTAGCTTTCTTAGTGATAAAAGGTACTCTTTAGGATTCTAGGAAAGAAAAGTAATCAACAGCAGCAGCCCACTGTGAACTTTGTGAGCTACAGTGATGGTCAGCCTTGATTCATACGACGGCTGGTGCATCAGTGCCATAGGTGATGTTATGCAAGTAACCAACAACTTTGCGAATGGACTAAAGCTCATTTCATAGGATGGTACTCAGGCTTGGTATAGTAAACATGACCAAGAACACATGGCTGAAGAGATCGTGGACAAGGAGAGAGTGTACATTATTTTTCTGAATAGACATGATATCCCATTGTCTTCTGAATATTTGTCTTTTACTCCTGGATCCATTCTGCTCTCAGCCCTTAGCAGAGAAACTTCATTTTGCAATTGACTATTTTTCATAGAGAGGTTCACAACTGGTCAATAGACATGGTCGATCGATGATGGTAGAGTGTGCAGGCCTAATAGCGATCAACATAATGTCTCATCCCCTCTCTTTAAGGCTCAGAGAACGATGTTATAAGAGGAGGTAGAAATCAGATGTAAAGATCAGAGAATATGCAACACAAAGCCATTGTGTCTTCTGGACATGACCCGGCCGTTGTACTTAAGAACTCAGAGCAGATGTGATTTCTGCACAAGATTTATTAGCACAAGGTGAAACTAGTCAAATGTCCAGCATGGATGGGGAGGTACCAACAAGCCTCCATCCCTGAGGAGCTATTGGCAATTGAGAGCTCCTGGTATGCTGCTCATTCTCTAGTTCATAATTTTACACTATGCACGGGGGTAGGGGGAGCACTAATTACTCTCAGTGGACTATAAAAATTGGAGTAAACATAATGTTTATAAGGAGATAAGGTGCGAGAATCTGAGAGAAGTTGGAGGAAGGATGGGGTATATGTTGTAGACATGCACGAAATTCTCAGTAAATAAATAAACACATTTAAAAAAAATCTTTGATTTTTTTTTTATTTTAGCCTCATCCCCTAATGTTACAAACTAAGGTTAGCAAGATGATTCAGAGGGTAATGATCTCAGTTCAATCCCACATTAGGGTGTAAAAAGAGAATTCCACACAGTTGCCTTTTAGCCTCCAAATACACTCTGTGGAATGTGCACACCAATACACACAGACATACATACACAGACGCATACACACATGCATGGAATATAAACAAATATAAAAATCATTTAAAAATTACAAACTATCAGAGCTCAGTTAACAAACACATAGTCGTGACAGAGTCCCAGTTCATATTTTATAATTTCTCACATTCTCCTGACGTCTTTTGATCTCATATATCTTCCTGTATTTAAGACAATCAGTTCTAGCCAAGTGTTGGTGACATATACCTTAATCTCAGCACTCTAGAGACAGAGACAGTCAGATTTAGAGGCCAGCCTCATCTACAGAGTGAGTTCTGTAGCCAGGGCTACACGAAGAAACCTTATCTCAAAACACAAAACAACACGAAACAGCAACAACAACAAAAGAGAATCAGTTCTATAAAGAAGTACCTAGAATGTCCACAGTAATTATGAATGTTTGCTGTAAGAACAAGACTGACAACAGTGTATGTGATTTCTCACTCAACATACACGTGTCATTCACTGAATGGTCCTAACAATTAATAGTTTAGAATCAAGTTAATTCCCAATCAGGATTAGCTGATAAACTTTCCAGGTACTTGAGAAATAACCTCAGGAAAAATAAAAGCTTGATATCAGAGGCCTCATCTTTATTTCCTTTTTTAAAATTACAAGTTATTATTATTATTATTACATGTAAAAGAGGAGTGTTTATTATTATTATTGTCATCATCATTATCATTATCACATATAAGAGAGAAAGGTGATTATTATTATTATTATTATTATTATTTATTACATATAAGAGAGGTATGTACATACATGAGCTTCAGTGAGCACATAGAAGATAGAGTGCAAATTGAAGAAGTTTGTTCTTTTGTTTCACCATGTTGGTCCCCGTGGTGGAACTCAGGTCATGGACTTGGCCTACTCACTGAGCAACCCTGCCAACTTCATATACCTGACCATACTGCTAATCACAGAAGGGAAGGAATTGGTTGGTTGACAGCTCTCAAGGAACGTTAAGATAATTGATTCAACTCTGTGATACTAAGAGGTGAC